TTATTTATTCGATCTTCAATTTATCTTTTATTTTGAATACATTTCATTAATGATAAAAAAGAACAAAATTTTCTTTTTTTCTTCTTCTATACTAAAACTTTCCTTTATCTTTTTCTCTTCAATCTCCAACAAAAAAAAAAAAAAAAAAAAAAGAAAATCATAATGAATAGAATAAACGAACATGTTTAATATGTTTTTGTTTTATGTATATATACAAACACATACATATATGAAACCCTACAATGAAATCAGTTCTACAAAACAAACAAGCGAGACATATTTAGCGGGCACCACAAAGAAAACAAATAACAACAATAACAAAAGAAAAGAACAGAAATCTAGTATGTATATATATATATATATATATGAAGTGATGATCTTGGAAGAACTAAACAAAGATTGGTTTGACTTTGATCTTTTTTTTTTTGAGTTAATGATGCTTGGCAAAAAAAAAAAAAGATATTAACTATATCACAGTGACAAAAAAAAAGAAGAAAAATATGTCTGAATTTAAAGTCTATTGTTTATCTGGATCACTCATATGTTTTGTTAAATCTTTGAGCATACCAAATGCACGAATACGTTTACGACCTAAATATCAAAAATATTTTTGATTTTTTTTTGTAAAAAAAAAAAATCTTTTTTTACCAAATAATTTTGTAAGTGTTTCATCACAATTAACATATTGTTTATTATTTGGATCCTTGAAAAAAAAAGACAAAAAATAAAGTTTTTTGAAAAAAAAAAAAATTTACTAATAAATTATGTTGTTTAAAATAAGCCCACATTCGTTTAACAACTTCTGATCGTGGCATCTAAAAAAATAATTAAATTTAAAACACAAAAAACTAAAATAATAATAATATATAAACCTGATTTCCACCAACAATACTAGCTAATTGATCACTTAAATCTAATTCTTTATTATAGGAAGTTTTTCGTCTTTCAGATTTTGTTGTTGTTGATTTTTTCGTTGTTATTAAATTTGTTTTCTAAATTAAATATTAATTTATTTAAAAAAAAATGAATCATTTATAGATTGCATTGACTCTATGAAGGACAATATATATATATATAATAATCTGTCAACATAGATTTATATCAATCATAATTATAGTTGTATTTGATACAAAATTTTTTCTTTTATAATATCAAAAAAAAGCAAAAATATATCGAGAATATTATTCTAAGAAAATTTAATAATATGAAATAGAAAATCATAAATTATTTAAAAATCTCTTTCATAAAACCTAATGTTTTAAATTTTAAAATTAAAGACAAGGACCTTTCATTCTAGATTTACTTTGAATGATTAATATGAATTCAAAAAAAAAAAATCAACTTTTTTCATATTTCAAAATAGAATTTGTCTATCTTTAACTCTACCATTGTTTTAAGTAATTTTTCTTTATGTCATCATGGCTGAGTAACTACATTATATGACGTATATTCATAATATAACGTATCAATAATCTTAAAATAAATCTAGACAAATCAACAATAGCTATTAATCTTGAATTAATTGTCTCATAGGGTAAACTAATTACATTGCTCTTACGATTAATTTTTGTATATAGAAAACTCAAGTCTTCTGTCTAGAACTATAATTAGTAGGAAAAAAATATCATACTACTATTAGACGATATAATGGTATTGGTTTAGCTGATGTTCCACTATGTAACTTTAGTGGAACACCAGCTAAACCATTATCCGATATAATATATCGTATGATAGATATATTGTTTTATATTAAATAAAAACTTACAATTGGTCTTGAATGTCTAAGACTAGGACGATTTTCTTGTTGATGAATTTCCATAGCAAGTTCTTCATCAGATTTAGTTGTTTGTTGATTATTATTATTATTTATCTGGCTTCGACGTTGTTGTTTTTTCTTTTTTTTTGTTTGTGTTGGTGCTGGTTTTTCATCATCAGATGTATCTATTTGTGCATCATCATTATCATCTTGTTCATCATTATTTGTTTGTGTTGTATCTCGTTTTGTTATTTCAGACATAAGTATATCATCAATTTCTTTTTTACGTTCAGTAAAATCACATTTAAATAAAGCTTCAAGCATTTGTCGAACTTTTTTTGATGATAATGTATTTAAATCAGCATCTTTAAGAATAATTTGAATTTCACGACGCAATTTATCAGCGCCGATATCCATCTTTTGTTTTATATTTTTTTTTTAATTCTTTTTTAATTAATTTTCTTAAAATAAGAAAACAAACAAAAAATTGTATAATTTTTATAATAATATTAAAAAAAAAAGAAAAAAAAGAATAATATTTAGGTCATTGAATAGTTGTAATTGTGAAGAAAAATGAATGAAAGAACAATATGGCCAATCCAATAGAAAGTATTGTCCTTCATTTATTCATTTATTTCTTTGATATTATGTTATTACCAATCAAATTTTTTTTTTATTTTATTTAAATTTAATCTCTATTTTTAAATATTAATAAAAAGAAATTTATTTCATAGTTTTTAAATAAAACGAAGAAAATTTGCAAAAATTATTATTTTGTTTTACAGATGTCGTTAATAGATGATATGAAATTAAATAAATTATATATTCGTAAAGATAAGATTGTTTGTCTATTAGAAAAATAGATAATTACATTGAATATTTGTGTTAAGTAAATAATATAAGATAAAAAGATTATACTTTGGTCAAATAATTTAAAAAAAGAAAAATTCACGATCTTCTTCTATTGGAATAATTAATCTTAGGGATGTTCAAGATTTCGAAAGGGAAGAGGCGCATGACTCAATTGACTGTAGGTGAAGTCGCGAAAATTTATTTTTGAGAGAAAACTTAAATTGAAATATGAAGACACTTTATCGATTCTCCTTTTCGAAATATGTATCATTTTGAATTTCCAACAAAAATACATCCGGATATGAATATGTCGATGTTCTTTGAAAATATTTTTCCATTATCATTACATTTTCTCATTTCCATGTAATCTACGATAAGAAGAAAAAAAAACTCACGAGTAAATTGAATTTTGTTTTTCTAATAAATGAATAGAAAAGGTACTGTGAAGTATGATAGTGACCTGAATCTTCAATAATATTATTCAGCACTTATTGTTTTTTTTTTTTTTCGATTTTCTTCAAATATTCATTGGATAACTATTGATAATCACATAATAAAACGTGTATTGAATTATTTCGAACTATGGTAAATATAATGATTTACATATAGTTTGTTTTTCTATTTCTACTTAAAGTACTTGTATGTGACTTTTTTTTTCTATGTTTTATTATAAGATGTCTCATTTGGTTATCAAACGTGATGTTTTTTCAAAATAAGTTATTATATTCATTCGTATGAACTCCTCAAGACTTTAATTCTATATCGAGAAAGTTTCTTTTCTTTTCTTTTTCTTCTTTCAATGATATTTTCAATTTCTTTGATATAGATAAATTTAAATTGTCTTTTGATGATTATAGAATCGAATAATTAATATAGTTTTTGTAAAATTTTATCTTGCAAAATCTTCTAAAAATTAAAAACAAGAGGATAATAGTAATATTCTGTTTATAAGAAATATGTTTATGATCAATTTTTCATTATTGATTAATTGAATTTGAATATTATTCGGTTTATTTCGATAATATTATATTTATTTCTTACGAGACAAATCGATTTATAAGACATGAACAGCAGGAAGGAAAATTCTCATAATCATCATCATCATCTTAAAATGCCTGAAGGGTATCATTTGATCTATCATAAGAAAAAAAATGATCTATATTCTCAATACTAAACAACAGTTATTGGATATACCTCAATAGATTAATAAAAAACAAAAGCTATGAGCATATCTCTTCTTTTTTTTTTGCTTTAACATTTCTTTAATCTTCGATTTTTTTACTCATAAGACATGTACTATGAAAAAAAAAAAAATTTATGAAAACATGATCAACAATTGTATGAAATAGTCATTTTATATATATATATAAACTTATCAATATATGATCAAAGGAAAAGTTTTTATTTAAGTTGTCATGTCGACAAATCTCGTAACAAAAAAAAAGTTGTCAAACTTATAATAAAAATAAAATATGGAAATATAGATTTAAGATTTAATTCATGCAAAAGAAATGATTGATGAAAATAATATAGATAAATGCATGACAAAAAAAAAAATGTAATCTAATTCGATAGATATTTATGTGATTACAGGTGAAAATCGACACGAAATTATTTTATCTCGATTGACTAGTTTTATAAGAAATTTAATCAGAAAGAATTTTGAAGGTGTAAACAACTCAATTATTATAATGTATATCTATCGCATCGATAGGAAATATATTCTTTTTTGATCCATGACGAGTCTCTTTTATGTCAATACGAGAATTATCAACATCATTATCATCGCCAATAGATAATAAATAATTCAATTGATATTTACTAAACATCTATCAAATCTTATGTGACCTATCGTTTATCAATTATATAAAAGATAATGTTCGATTTGTTTAATATAAAAGTAAAAAATAAAAAATAAAAAAAGAAATCTCAAATCATTAGTTGTGTATAATGACGTGATCAAAAAGAACAACAGCATTTGTAAATGCTAGAAGAAATCAATTTCATTTTTTTTTTTTTTGTCGTTTTCTTCTTTTCTGCCCGCCTTTTCCTATCGTTCTTCTTTCTTTTCTTACTGATCATAATTCCTACAATTGCCAACTGTAAAAACATACAAAGAATAGAATAGATATTGATAGATAGGTTATCATTACTACGTGAACTT